TGAGGTGGCAAGCACCCACTCAACCTTTTGTTATAATGAATAAATCTCAAGTAGTTGCTTGGAGACTTTATGTAGGCTCAAGAGGAGGAGTTGAATGAGAATAAATCATTGTTCACAATCGCTCTTCCCCTTAACTCTTTATATTTTCAGCAACCTTAGTTAATGCTATGTTTTTGTGTTTTGATTATAAGTTTTATTCATAAGGTGTATTTAGAACCTTATTATTGTTAATTACTTAACTTTTTTTATTAATCCTACGACTCCTACAATAGAACTAAATTACTCATTAATTGCATAATTATGCTTATTAATACCTTAACATGACTTGTCAATGACTTAACTCTCCTTGTTAAGTCTATGACTCCCATAATAGAGCTACATTACCTGTTAATCGCGTAACTGTGGTTGTTAATATCTTAACAGACTTGTTAATTACTTGAATTTACTTGTCAAATTCATGACTCCTTTAACTGAACTGCATTACTTGTTAATCATGTAACTTTATTTGTTGATTACGCAACAGTACCTATTAATTACGCAGCTTGACTTATTAATTATGTAACTTTACTTGTTAATTCTGTGACTCCCTCAAAATTATTTGTATAATAAATCTTATTTTAAACCTCTTGAGTATTATGATTAAAGCATACTTGTCAAAAGTCTAATATAACTTGTCATTTCTTCAACTTTAATTGTTAATATTATATATTTGTTTTTAAGGTACTTGCTTTCTCTCTCTCTCTCTCTCTCTGTATATATATATATGCTTATACAATTGAGTATCTAGTTTGATGAATACTGATAAGGGAGACTCAATTGTCATCGCTTTTGTTATTTGATAAACTCAATTTTTTATGTAAATTATATCTTCATTTAACAAGTGATAATAGATAATTAAGAAGTATTGTTGAAGAATTAATAAATAAAGTTAATGCAATTAATAAGTAATTTAGTTGCTTTTTCGAATCAATAGTTAAACAAGTCTTATTATGGTATAACAAGTCAGTTATGCAATTAACAAATATTGTTGCCTAATTGACAAGTAAAGTTACATGATTAACAAGTAATACAGTTCAGTTGAAAGAGTTGTAGATTTTACAAGTAAATTCAAGTATTAACAAGTCCTATTAAGTTATTAACAACTACAGTTACACATTAACAAGTAATATAGCTCTGTTGTGAGAGCATGACTTAGCAAGGAGAGTTAAGTAATTGACAAGTCTTGTTAAGGTATTAACAAATATAGTTATGCGATTAACAAGTAATTTAATTCTGTTATAGGGTCGTGAGATTAACAACAAAAGTTAAGTAATTAACAAGTCTTGTAAGATATTAACAAGTAAAGTTACGCGATTAACAAGTAACATAATAATGTGATTTGAAAATAACGTTTATTGTAATATAATTTTATGTATTACATATTTGAATGAGTTGAGTGGTTTTGGTGGGCTAAACTTTTTAGTAAATTAAGGGGTCTTGGATTCTACACCCAATTGAAAAGGTTTGGAGATTTTGCACTTCAATTTTTTTTTTTTTTTCAATCCGACCTGTCCAACCCGCCTGATTTGGGGTTGGACGAGTTAATTTAGGTTAATTCTGAGTGTGTATTTGGATTAAAACAATTTACAATTGAGGTTAGAACTAACTGAAGTTAATAAATTGAGGTTAAAAAAAAGATTGTAATTTTAACGTGACTTATGTTTGGATATTCTTTTTTATAAAAGTAAGTTAAACAAATTAAAATTTATTTGGATGATTAATTTAAAGCTAGTTGAAATATAAAATGATAAAAATAGACATAAATTTTTTTATACATATTTTTTTACTAATTCGATAATTTTATGAAAAAATATTAAATAAAATTAAAATTTTTAAAAATAGATTAAAAATATAAAATAAATTGATAAATATAAAATTTTAATTTAAAAAAATTTTAATTTTAAAAAATATAATGAAATGATAAATTACAAATATTTTTTTGGCCTGAATATAAATTACAAATATAAGGTATTGGAGTCGGATGCTCTTAATTTTATTTTTTATTTTTATAATTTGTTAACCCCTAAACTAAGACTAGCAAAAATAAACCATGACTTCTCTCTCTTCAAAGCAAAACTTCATGATTATAAATCCCTCTTCATGCCAATTGTCTCTGAAATTCATTCCATCGATTTGTAGCCCTACCACCCACCCACGCTAATTTCAATTTAACTCTCAAATTAGAGTAGAGGAAGGAGAAGCACAACGTTGATGGATGAATGAGATTTGAAACTGGAGAGATCAATGATGAACTGAGTAAAGATGAATGAATGAGTGAAATCGTGATTGAGAAGCAGAGATGAATAACACGATAGAACCCTCAACATCCATAGATGGCAGTGACAACAAGCACAATGTGATCAACGATGACGACGAGAAGATTAGGAGGCAATGACTGGTGTGCTTGAAGTGAGGATAGAGAAAAGAGTAACCAATATTGGGTGATGTGAGAGGATAACGGAGAGAGAAAGTGTAGCGTTGTGTTGAAAAGCTTCAGGATCTGGCTTCTTAAATAACGCTCGTTTAGGCTCAACGCTCGTTCGCTGATTTCTTTTATCCAAACAAGAATTTTAATCTTGAAATGGACTTTTAACATCTCAACTGAGGTTTGAATCCTCCAAACCTCAGTTATAATGTAATCCAAACATGCTCTGAGTATTGCAAGTTAATCCAGGTTAATTTTGAGTGTTGCGCAAGTAAAACAAGACTTATTTAATAAAAATATTTTGTATTTAAAAAACATAAAACAAGAGGCAGCACTTCCTCGTGAAAAAGCTACATTTTGTATTTATTTTAAAAAATTATTTACTTTATTTAATATATGTATATATATAAATAATTCAAGAGGTAGCAATTCTTTTAAGGAACGCTACATCTTGATATCATGAAAATAAGAGATCTCCTCATGTTATTTTATTTTGAAAAATAAATTTTAAAAATTGATTTATAAAATAATTTTTAAAAATAAAAAATGAGAACCAATCAAACAATCCGTTAGTAATTGTTTTCAAAAGTACCCCTTACAAATTTCTAGGTATAATTTATATTTATACTTGTTTCCAAAAACCGTGGCATTAAATAGAGGTTAAACATGTAAAAAAAAAAAACAATTTTTACACACATGCATAGATTTCGGTACCTCCTAGATTTTCTAGATTTATGTTTGTTTTCTATTAAATCAAGAGAAGTATATCATTCATAAATTATTTATTTTATAATAAATTCTCATTATTAATATTATTAATATATTAAAATTCATTTGTTTTAAGTTGATTGAATAAAAAATATATTAACTATATAAGGCTAAGTACTGAATTCTTGCTCTACTTTTATTTAATCAAATCAAAATAAATAAATTTTAATGTGTTAATAATATCATTGACAAGAATTTATTATAAATTGAATAATCTATGAATGATATATGTATCTTAATTTAATGAAAAACAAGTATCTTAAATATAAAATGTTAAGTATATAAGTTTTTTTCAAAATATATTTAATAGATTTCATCCTCTCAATTAATGGATGTAGACATTCAAGTTTCCAAAATTTATGAGAAGATTTCTACCATTATGTGATGGAAGAAATTTATATATTTAATCTTATATACTTAAAGTGATTGTTTTTAATCAAGTTAACACATGTATATTTTTCATTGATTATTTATGTGATTTTAATGTGTTAATAATATCATTGATAAGAATTTATTATAAATTGAATAATCTATGAATGATACATGTATCTTAATTTAATGAGAAACAAGTATCTTAAGTGTAAAATGTTAAGTATATAAGTTTTCTTCAAAGTATATTTAATAGATTTTCATCCTCTCCATTAATGGATGTGGACATTCAAGTTTCCAAAATTTATGGGAGGATTTCTACCATTTTGTGATGGAAAAAATTTATATATTTAATCTTTTATATTTAAAGTGTTTGTTTTTAGTCAAATCAATACATGTATATTTTTCATTGATTATTTATTCTATAACAAATTCTCATTATTACAATTATTAACATATTAAAATTTATATGTCATGAGTTGATTGGATAGATTCTTTATTCTATAATAAATTTTTGTTATTAATACTAATAAGAAATTAAAATTTACATGTCTTGATATTGTTGAATAAAAATATTTTAAGTATATAAAGTTAAATATGTAAGTCTTGTCCTTACATGATTTACCTAATTTTATAAGCAGGGTGAGGCTAATGTATTTATTTTTATATACTTAATAATAAATAATTTATTATAAAAATTCATGTATCTTAATTTAATTAAAAATAAACATATTAAGTATAAAAGATTAAATATATAAATTTTCTTCAAATAATTATAATTTCAAAAATAAAAATAAAAAATTTCATGAAAAATGAAAGGAGTTAGGGAATTGGAGAGGGGCAATGACATAAAAATACATAGTCGATACACTACCTACTTGTTGTGGGACTCTGCCTATCTCTTTTGAGAGCTTTCTCTACCTCTCTTTGAGGTAGAAGCATAATTTGTACCATCTGAAAAGTTTAAATTTAATATTCTTATTTTTAATTTATATTTTTAAAATAAAAAATATAAAAATTATAAATTTTTTATTAAATATACTTATCAATCTAATAATTCATATTTAATATAAATTCTCTAAATTTAGGAAATTTTTTATTAAATTTACTGTTCTGTTCAAAATATATTTAAACTGTTCAGAATATATTTAAAAGTTAATTTAAATTTTTTATATTAAATTTAAAGCATTTATATTTAATTTAAACTGTCAAATTCATAAATATATTTATTAAAATTTTTAAAATTTTTATTTTAAAAATATAAATAAAAAAATAAAAAAAATTAAATTTGGACCAATCAAATTAACCCTGAACGATCGAAATTTACCCCTGCATCAAAGAAAGGCGGCCGACTCCCTCGTTGTGATAGGCTTTTTGTGTTTTTTTTTTTTTCATTTCATGTTTGCTTCTGGAGTGAAGGGGTTGAATAAAAAGTGTGCCACTGGGAAGGCCTCTGCATAGCTGGGTTGGGTTCTTCCTCTTCAAGAAAGACGACGGCTGTAAGCAATGGGCCGCTCTCGCGTCGCGTCGCGCCAACCTGACGATGACCCCAACCAAAGGTTTCTCATTCACGCGCTCTATTTCTTTTACTCCCTGTCTCATGCATTTGTAATGCTTTGGTTGCTGTGATATTTTGGGGAATACAATTGCTATTTGTGGTTATCTTGGTCTTGTGAACCCAAGACTATGTAACCAAGACTTGTATTCTTTAGCAAGTTAGCTGTGCTATTCTCCCATTGGATTTTTTGAGACTCTTGAAGGAAGGGGGATGACTTTTGTTGTTAATTGAATGTTCTTTCTAATATGTATTGGGGTTTGAGTTATATTTTGCGGCATGGGCTTCTGAATTTATCTTACTCCTTGAAAGCTACTGCCGCTATCAATTTAAAGAAAATATATTGACATCAATTTAGTCTAAATGATTTAAAATTACATAATTTTATTCTTGATTAAAAAAAGACAGAAGTTCATTTGTTCCACTAGCTACTAAAAAAAGCAGAAGAAATATGTTCAGTGAGAATTTTGATAACTCAACGCTTCTATGAAGTTTTTGTTGCTGTAGGGACCGTGATCATACTTGAAAAACCGTAATCATTTACGCAAGAAAACATTGCTTTTGTTTTTGTTTTCCTTTCGTTTACTAATATTCCTGGGAAGAAAGCATTGTAAAAGATATGGTTATTTATGAAATTTGATAAGCTCTAACTGAAATATTAATGAATAAGTTGAAAGAGAGAGTAATGGGAATCTTTGAATCTTACATGAGTTAGAATGCTAGTATGAGAAATTCTTGGAGTATCATTCCAAAAGTTTGAATTTCACCATTATATTTCTTTCATACATTTTTTCCTGGGAAAAAAGGGTTGAAGTTAAACAGCAGGAAAGCTAGGCCAAACTGGATGGTTATAAAGAATTTGTCTTAGAGAGGACTTGTAAGTTACTGAAATAAGCACTTGAGAGAAATCACACAAGGAAGACTAGGCAATGACTTTTCAAGAAATAGGAAGAATTCTGCGATGTTGCTTTTTTTAATTAGAAAACTATTGAAATTATTGCATTATTGATGTTCAGATTCTTTTCCTCTACAATAACAAATATGGGAAGTGGTTTGGATGAGGGGAGCAAATTTGTTAGGGGTTTGCCTGGCCAAAGCTTCTAGTAAGGAATCATGTCCTTTGGGTGGGATGTTATATCCACCAACTCCTTTAAAGTGTTCGTTGAGTCCTAATTGGGGAAGGTTCTTGTTTAAGTGTCGGATGATTTTTGTCTGTTCGATGGTTTTGTTATTGTCTTGTCTTTGATTATTTTGTTTTCTTTAATTTACTCTATTTTGTTGAAGATTTGGTGTTCTGCATGTTTCGTTAATTTCCCCTTTGCCAGCAAAAAATAAAAAATTAAAAAAAAGAAAGGGAGGCAAGAGAAAATCTGAGAGTTTTCTTGTCCTTTTCCCCTAGTGTTTATTTTTTTTAAACTAAATATCTTAGTTGGAGGAAATATGCTTTTGGACGCATATTATTTCTTCTTTAATGCTTTCTTGTTGCATATTACACTTCATTTTCTTTTTCAAGGGTGATATTTCTTCTTCTTCTCTTACTTGAAACCTCTGTTTGTAGATCCAAGAGGAAAAAGGCAGCTTTGAATGCAGAGAATTTAGAAACTTTAAGTATAGGTGATAATTCTTCAACACATACATGACTCCACATTTTCATAAAAAAATATATTTTATTGGAGTGATGACATACTTTAAATGTGGTAGGCCATGGAATAAGTGAAGGGAAAGTGTCTCTTTACCATTGTAATTATTGTGACAAAGATATTTCCGGGAAGATCCGCATTAAGTGTGCTGTTTGTCAAGATTTTGATCTCTGTGTGGAGTGCTTCTCTGTCGGAGCTGAGGTGACACCTCACAAGAGCAATCATCTGTATAGGGTTATGGTCAGTAACCTCTCTTCATGTTGCATCTTTTTACGATGTTTTATTACTTTCAGGGTTATAAAATGCTCTACAAGACAAAAACATGAGATCCATGCTAGGTGTATTAAATAATTTGGAAGTTGATTTTCATTGATTAATGTTGTAATTTATTAAGATAGTAGATTTGTTGACTTTTGTTGATGTGTATATGATATTTGACCTTTGGTTCTAAATTGAGACCAGGACTTGATGGAAGATGGGCGGACTTACCAGAAAGTTAGAGATCAGTCGCTAGTGTGAAGATGGTAGACCTAGGCTAATTGAATGCTTATAATGGAGTCATCTTGGCCCTCGATGGGTCTTCTCTACATCTAATTGTCGAAAAACCAAATGGTCAGAACTTTTGAGAATGGGAACACTAAAGAAAATTGATGAGAACTCCATAGTAAGCCTGCAAATAGGAAACCAAGGAGAGGAAGAAATAGATGTTATCATATGGCCACTAAAAATCAGACCAAGAAGCAAACTGATGAAGGCACAGAGAATGCCTCTATGTCCTTTGTCAGTAATGATCAGCATGAAAAAATTCTAGAGATGCTAGCCTCTCTTTAATCTCACACTCAAACCATGAAGGTTGCACTTTCAGGGTAATTTCGTGCAATTCTTAAAAATATCTTGGATTAACTTAATACTACTTGGATCATAAATTTTGGTGCATTTGACAAGGTCATATCAATTGGCTTTAACTCGGTTCTTGTGAATGGAGCCTGAGTATTAAAATTGCTGATATATTAACAATTACTTGCATTGTTAGTTGATAAAGGAAGCATTAAAATCTGTTCTATATGTACCAAAGTTGGCTTGCTATTTCCCATCTTTATCAGTTGACAAAAGATTCAAATTGTTCAGCTAACTTCCATTTTGTATTTTATCAAACCTATCATCAATGATGATGGTTGTTGTGCTATAAAACATGATGGTTTCTATTATTTCAAAGATTCTGGCGTGAGTCATCCAAGTTCAAATATTGCCTATTTCATCTTTGTCCAAGGATAATGGCGTTAGATTATGGCATTTGAGAATGGTTGATTGTCATGTTGGTGTTGAGGATAATGATCCTCCCACATGTTGAGTGTTTGAACCATCAGACATTGAGAGAGGAGAAGAGAATGAGTCTGTTATAACTAGAGGGTTAATAATTATGAAGTTTAATCTTTATCAGAATTGGACAACAATCTCATACAGTTTAGGTAAATCCAAATGGTGGAGAATCTCTGATAAATATAAACTGAAACATTCATATGCATTATCTCATGAAGGAGTGTTACAAATATTAAGCATCTTAGTATCTTACAAGTTACAACTACAAACCTAACGATTTAGTGATAGCAAATCATACTAATACCCTATTTAATTGACAACTCAGCATATTAGGATAGGAATCTTAAACTGCAATTATGAAATGTTTACAACTCAGGGTGGAAGTTATTCGACATGTATTAACTCCCTTCCCTACAAAATCTAACTTTGGGCTTGGGCTTGTGTATTTATTGCGCCTTTTGTATACCAATAGAGGGCTTCTATCCTGGTGAATTTTAGTATGAAGTGTGTAAACTTGCAAAACATTGCTAAACTTCTTTTACAAAATCTCAATAGAAACAAAGAAAACCATTCAGTATATTGCATAGTAGCCTTTGGGGTCTATCCCATTTTCCAAATCATACCAATGCAATGTTGTTTTGACACTGGTATTAAATTGTTTCTGAATCATAGCATGTAAATTTGTGAACACAGAAGAGACCTAAGACTTTTCTTTTAGTAGGTATATCCAACAAAGACATTGTGGTCGTCAACAAAGACTTTTCAGGGCTTGTATAAAATTACCTTTATGGGCCCATACTGGTAGGGTTATTTCAATTCAATTTATATACAACAACAACAACAATAACGAGCCTTATTCCGTTAGTTGGGGTCAATTTATATATTAACTATAAAATAATAAAGGTTCCCTACTTTGTCTGATATTCTCATCCCTTTCTTTGCTTTGGTCTCCATGAACTCTGTTCTGCAGGCTCCATGTCATTCTATATGTAAGCCATACTAGGTTGGGTTAATTCAGTTCAATTTATTATAATCTTTCTTACTTCTATTTTTCCCCTTTATGAGGAAACCAGAAAGAAAAAAAAATCTGAATTAAAGTTTAATTTTTTTTTTTCTTTCACCGTATACTAAAATTAAATATGGCTCTCATCATGCTGAAAAATTTGCCAGTTATGCAATGAAATTTGGAACATGAGGGCTTGCTTACTGATGGTTAAGATATGTTTGCATATTAATTCAAACCTTCAAAACAATTTTTCTGACAGGATAATCTATCTTTTCCATTGCTATGTTCAGACTGGAATGTGGATGAAGAGATGCTACTGCTAGAGGCATGTCATTTGACTATATGGAACTCTCTTTTCATTCTTTATTTTTGCTACTTTCCTAGTTTTCAACTCACGCATTTGTTGAATGACATCTGTTGTCCTCATCTGCTTGTCAACAAATTTTGGGTATCCTAAGTAAGTTCTCTCATTTTAGGGTATTGGAATGTATGGATTTGGCAATTGGGCTGAAGTAGCAGGATGTGTTGGAACAAAAAGCAAGTCTGAATGTATTGACCACTATAATGCTTTTTACATGAATTCACCATGCTTTCCCCTCCCTGTAAGACTGCGTGAGAATTCTGTTATTGAAATTTATGCATTTAACCAGCATTTTCATGTTAGAGTAATCGTTCACTTGCATCTAGGATTTGTCTCGTGTTATGGGAAAGAGTCGAGAGGAGCTCCTTGCTATGGTCAAGGAGTGTGGTGATGTTAAGAAAGGTTAGTAACCAGACAATGAAAGTTTTGTTTGGTTATTTTGCATGAGATTTGATTTGTTTGTCTAATTAATTTGCGCCAATATCACATTCTAAGGCATTGCATGGTTGCAGGAGACGTTTCAGAGTACACTTGGAAATACTTATTTTAATTTTTTTGGCAAGTAACTTTTTGGAAAAATTAATCTTTTAGTCCCTCAACTTTTAACTTACTTGTAACTTAGTTCCTCAGCTATAACTCGCTGTAACTCAGTCTCTCAACTATGACTCATTGTGATTCAGTCCCTCAACTTTTGTCTCACTTATAACTCGGTCCTTATTTTTTAATTTTTTTTAAATTTCCTCTCCTCTTGCTCTTTGATATGGGATCTAAATTAGCATAAAAAATAGAGCTAAAAAAAGTTGAGAGATTGGATTAAAAGTGAGTTAAAAGTTGAGGGATTGAATCATAAGTGAGTTACAGTTGAGGCGCTGAGTCGTAGTGAGTTATAGTTGAGGAATTGATTTACAAGTAAGTTAAAAGTTGGAGGATTAAATGATTAGTTTTTTCTAACTTTTTTTTGAGTTGTTCCAGTAGTTAACTCCTTGAACTCTTGTGGAATTTATTGAACAAGACATTTTGGTGAATATTATACCTAAAGAGTTGGTTGTCGATAGAACAAACATATAATTGATCTCATCAGGTGGGACAAGATTTGTTATTATTGTTCTAGTAGTTAACTCTATTGATTTATGCCTTTTAATCACTCATTGTAATTAAGCCATAGTCCTTCATTTAGTAGTTGCCTATTCATAGACATAAGGTCTTGTTTGGTAGATGGGAATGTTTTCTATTCAATGTGGCTATGGGAATGTGATTCCTTAGCCTTCCATGTTTGGTTGTAAGTTAGGAATGGGATTCCTTTCAAATGGCAATGAGGATTCTATGAGCTTTTGTAATCATGGCTCCATCAAATATTAGGGGGAATGATTGAGGATTCTTGGAATGTGGATGAAATGTCTAAAAAATGCTCTTTGATTTTTGGTTAAAGCATATAATGTATTGCATTATATGATCCCACCATTTAATGTGCATATATATATTATTATTATTATCTAATTAAGTAGATGAATAAATTTTGAAAAATCTAAACATGTATAGATTCCAATCAACCCCCCTAAAATGGGACACTTCTTTTATGATATTTCTGTATGCGAATAGCTGAATATGCATATATGGTGGGTAACAATCAATAATGATATGAAATCCCTCAAATGATGCCCTAAAATCCTCCCAATTAGCAGCAGTCCTATGTAGATCATTATTTGACTATTTAGATTAAATGTTATTTTATTAGAATCCTTTGTACTGTCTCTCAAGTCAGATCATAGTTATTAATCATGTCTAAATTACCAATGTGTCCTTCCAAGGTATGTTGTGGCTGCACCTTGGTGAGAACATTAGCTGTTTGCTCGTTAGTAAAGATGTGAACCATGCAAGATAGTCCCCTCTTCAACCTTCAAATCGATGAAGTGACTATCAATTTGAACGTAATCCTCTAAGAATGTGGCATCCATACTTACAAAAGGGCAACGAGGAAGGATCATAATATTTATATGCTTTTTGATTTGGAGAGTGACCTAGAAATACATGCTTGATGGTCAAGGCACGTGTCAAATTTACTTCCTTAGTTGGAGTGAACATGGACAAAACAAGTAATCCCAAGCAATTTGAGTGTTGAGTTGACTTTGGGTTGAGAAATAGGATAGGATTCTTGAAGTTTCTAGAGGAGTGTGGGAAAAGAAAACACATGACTTGGCATTATGTTCGAGATATTGGGCAGTTAGAATGGCCTCACCTCAAAAACTTTTTGGCATATAGGATGTGAACATTAATGCTCTTGCAACTTCTTAGATTTGTCTATTTTTTTTTTCCTTTCCCAGCAACCCCATTTTGTTGAGGTGTGTTGTGCTTTAGTGTATAATGACATTAGACTTGAGAAAATTTCCAAAATGAACAATTCAGTGCCATTATCAATGGACATGGTATTTAATTGATTTTGAGTCATAGTATGGAAATTGATGAACACTAAACGAGACCTATAAGAAATCATTCTGTGTGAGTATGATTAGAGGTGTGAGAAGGACCCTATAAGTTATTGTGAATCATGCCAAATGTTTTAGTTGGTTTATATTTGAATTCTCTATTATGTTTCAGCCAATCATGACCCTTTGTAGGCAGCTGTTTTTTAAAGAAACCAACCAACAAATTTGATATGAATTGATGGACAACCAAATAGGATGGGGAACCTTTTGAAAAAGTTAGCTGTTGAGTTGGGAGAATCAACTGTACTCTATAGAATGTCCCATTGTATTTAATATGTGACTAGGCATCCTGTACTACCTTAAGCTTTAATCATTATCACTATATAGACAACAATAACAAGCCTTATCCCACTAGGTGGGGTCCATTATCACATTATCACTATATATTTAAAATTAATTCAAATGAGAATTGGCTTTATTACTGTTGTTTCTGTGGACTAATGCAAGCACGCATGCTCTTTGATTTATTGGTTACATTTTGCAATGTCAAATTTTGGGAAGTCAATTGTAGTGATTTAAGTAAGTTTTCATGTTATTTGTGCAGAACTTTCTCCAAATGCAGAGCTTACACTGAAAGAAGAGCCTCATTTTTCTGCAGGAATAAAGTATAGTTTACCATTTCAAAGTGATCATTTAAATTGATTAGTTATATCTTTTAGCTAATTCTTCATGTTATATATCAGCTCAGAGGAATCTAAAAAGGAAGAACCAACTAATCAAACATTGTGTGGCTTAACTTCAGGTACTACAATTGTATAGCTTGAAAAAGTCTTCCTTATCAGGTTCTCCTCTCATTTCATTTTAAAATCGTTGGTATTTTTGTGCAACATATACTTGTAGGTGCTGATATGGGTTCTGTCCCTGCCAAGGCTTACTCAAGTTCAAATAAGAAGGCTTCCAATACTAACCAGATTAATAACCGGCTTAAAATGGAAGGTATTTATGCTGAACTATGATGGAAAGATTTTGCCTTTCATTGCACAACAACAACAAGCCTTGTCCCTTTAGGTGGATAATATTTTCCTTTCATTGTAAAACTTTGTTAAATCTCACATGGGTATGAACAATATTTGCCTTCCATTGTAATCTGATTTTATTTCTTTACCTAGATTTGTTGGCTAGAATCATGTGATATGATTGTCTGTATAAGCTGTATATATTGTTGATAGAAAATATGGCAAATATTACTTTAGGAGGAAATAATTTATTAGTTCTTTATTGCTTTTCATTAGTTTATTAGTTTTTGTTGCTTTTCACCTAACTTTTGTAAGTTTCCTTCTTGTGAAGGAAACCAGGCAGCAAGTGGACGTTTCCTTGTTAGGAAGGAAACCTTATACTTATAAATAGCATGACTTGTGTATTTAGAAGGGATGAAACTGAATGAAGTTATTTGATATATTCTGAAAACTCTCTCCCTCCAGTCTGCGTCCAACCCCTCTCAATTCTTCCTCCCTCTTTGTTCTGTCCTTCCTCATCTCTTCCCACACTACCCTGTTCTCGTCCCTCTCCCTACTACTCTCTGTCTTTTTGTTTCATCTCACTTTTCCTTTTCTATTTAAATCAGTGTGAGTGTGAGTGTTTGTGTTTTACATCAACTTGGTATTAGAGTGAGGCTTTGAACGTTCCTAGGCTGTTTCTGCGGCCGGAGATCGGAGAAAACTCACAAGGAAGCTTAGCATACTCTGTTCACGCTGCTAGCACCCAAAGACACATTACCCGACGTCAGATCCGAAAATGGATGCCACCATCGGGCTCGGGAGGAGAAATCTGGTCAGAACCAGAAAAACCACCTCCGCCCGAAGACACGTGCTGGCACGCGCCTGTGGAGTTTCTGCGCGTGGTCTTCACGTGCCTCACGGGCCGTCGCATGCACCGTTCATACAGTTCGCACCAGAACCTAATTTTCAGTATTTTCTGTGTGTTTTCGCGGAATTTCTTCAACTCTGAAGAAGCTGAGGGGCACAAGTGATCGCCTAAAACTTATTTGGGGGTAAAACGTTTTGTTTTAGGCTCCTAAAGCAACGTTGGTAAGGCTGACGACCCTCTCATTTAACTGGCTTATTTGGTTATTAAAGGCAGGTGTTTCATTCATAGCTAGTTTTGAAATCTTTGCTGTGTGGTACTTTGGTTTCTTTGAGCATTGCAATTTTTATTTTTTTTAATCGTGTTTTAATTTAATATTTTGAAAAATATATATATGTATAAAAAAAAGGAAATTTACATTGATCATTATGTTGTTAATTTGTGACTTTTGATAGCAGTGTTTGTATAACTTAGGACACCTACCTCTCACACAATCCGGCCCTATACCCGGGTCTAAAAATTACCCTAGGTTAGTTGAAGTTTCTAACGGTTTTCCTAAAAGGTTTTTGAACCTTCAGAGATTTCTGTGAAGACTTCACTTGAGTTGTTACCTATTTAGCACTAAATGGGTTGAGTATATTCAGGGATTCACTTTTGTGGTCAAGCATCATTTAGGAATAGAAAATATGGTGGCTGACGCCCTGAGCCGTCGGATCAACTTGTTGCCACTATGAGCGTTAGTGTTATTGGTTTTGAAAACTTGAAGGAAGACTATGCTTCATGTGCAGATTTTAAGATAATATACCAAGAAGTTCGCAGTGGTAATCGTCATGAGCATGTTGATTTCATCCTTAAAGACGATCATCTCTTTCGTGGAAGCAAGCTGTGCATCCCATGTACTTCTATGTGAGATTTTCTTATATGGGAGTTACATGCTGGAGGTTTAGCTGGTCATTTCGGGGTTAATAAGACAATGGCATTAGTCGAAGATAGGTTCTACTGGCCTTCACTCAAGTGTGATGTGGCTCGTATAGTGTCTCAATGTTGAAATTGTCAAACTTCTAAAGCTAGGCGACAGAATACCGGTTGGTATACTCCTTTGCCGATTCCCGAGGCACCTTGGAAAGACTTAAATATGGATTTTGTCTTAGGATTCCCTCGCACAGCTAGAGGTCATGACTCTGTATTAGTTATTGTGGACGGGTTTTCAAAGATGGCTCACTTTATTCCTTGTAGCAAAACTACGGATGCTTCACATTTGGCAAAGTTGTTTTTCAAGGAGATTGTGCGTCTGCATGGGTTACTTACCACTATCGTATCTAATAGAGATGTTGAGTTTGTTAGCTACTTTTGGAAGACCCTATGGAAACTTTTTGGTACCTAATTAAAGTTCTCTTCTGCTTTTCACCCCCCAAACTGATGGGCAAACTGAAGTCACTAATCGCAGTTTGGGTAATTTGCTTCAGAGTTTAGTTGGAGACTGGCCGAAGAACTGGGATTTGGTTCTACCCACTGCAGAGTTAGCGTATAATAATTCAGTGAATAGGTTTACAGGCATGAGTCCCTTCTAGATTGTTCAAGGTTTTAATCCTAAATAACCTATTGACCTCCTGCCAATCCCGTTGACACTTCGCATCTCTGAATCTGCTGAATCCTTTGCCAATCGCCTTCATGAATTACATGCTGAAATTGGGTGCAAATTAGCGACAAGTAATGATCAATATAATTTATCTGCTAATACTCATTGCCGATTTCAAAGCTTCAATATAGGTGATTATGTTATGGCTCGCATTCGTCTAGAACGTTACCCTAAACATGCTTTTAAAAAGTTGCATGCTCGAGCTTCGGGACCTTTTTGCATAACAAAGAAATTAGGACCTAATGCTTATCTTTTAGAATTACCTTCTGATATGAGCATAAGTTCAATTTTTAATATGGAGGATCTTATGCCTTATTAGGGAACTTTTGAGCTTCCCCCTTTGCTTTCTGATGATTCTGCAGGTACTCGGCCTTCATAGGTGCCAATTCCATCATTGCCTGTTGTCTTACAATCAGTTGATGAAATTGAGATCATTATGGATGATCAGATGGTTTTTACCTCTGAGGGGCCCCTTCGTCGTTATTTGGTTCGTTGGAGAGGTCGATCTGATGAAGATGCCACCTGGATTTCAGAAGATGAATTCCAACAACTTAATCCTGCCTTACTAGAAGTCTATCAACTCTCTCCCTCTTCGGAGGAGAGTTCTTTGCAGCAGGGGAGAATTGATAGAAAATATGGCAAATATTACTGGAGGAGGAAATAATTTATTATTTCTTTATTGCTTTTCATTAGTTTATTAGTTTTTGTTGCTTTTCACCGAACTTTTGTAAGTTTCCTTCTTGTGAAGGAAATCAGGCAGCAAGTGGACGTTTCCTTGTTAGGAAGGAAACCTCATACTTATAAATAGCATGACTTGTGTATTCAGAAGGGATGAAACTAAATGAAGTTATTTGATATATTTTGAAAACTCTCTTCCTCCAGTCTGCATCCAACCCCTCTCAATTCTTCCTCCCTCTTTGTTCTGTCCTTCCTCATCTCTTCCCCCACTACCTTGTTCTCGTCCCTCTCCCTACCACTCCCTGTTTTTTTGTTTCATCTCACATTTCCTTTTCTATTTAAATCAGTGTGAGTGTGAGTGTGTGTGTTTTACATCAATTGTACTCTGATTGATCAATGAAAACAAGCACTTTTCGACTCACTCACTTTTTTATTTTTCCATTTCTCAATAATACCATAACCATGTTGTTAGACACTCTGTTCATGTCATATACTGTTTTGTTTTAGGTAGAAAACGTAGTTTTTCAATTATCTAGTGCTCATCCCCCCCCCCGGGCCCCAAATTGCCAGAATCAGTTCTTATTCCATGGTATTTATTTGAGTTTACCAGTTGATAAATGAATATGAAACATGTCTTCACTGTACTGTTGATGCTGATAGGCCCTTTTAAACTCTCTCTCTCTCTTGTAGTGGAGTCTCAAGTGGATCGAAGGATTGGAGAGAAAAAACCCAAGTTATATGGGGACGATGGGCCTTCTGTGATAGAGTTGAGTGGATACAATTTTAAGAGAGAAGAATTTGAGATTGAATATGATAATGATGCAGAACAAGTATTGGCTGATATGGAATTCAAGGACACTGATACTGAAGCTGAACGTTCATTGAAACTACAAGTTCTCCATATATACTTAAAAAGGTAATTTGTGACAATGCTTTATGTTGGAATCTCATAATTGTGAGCTTATTCATTTTATAATTAGCTTTGCTTATCACAAAGGATTTTATAATCAGAGTCAATTTATTTATTTCTCATTTTGTTTTTGTTTTATGTGATTGTAATGATCCTTAATTTGGTCTTTTGTTATCTGTATAATTCTGTTTCATACTTTATTTATTTTTTGATCTCATAATTAAGTGTGGATCATCAACAATATTTTCCCCCTAGTTTTAGATCATAGAATTGTCCTGAATTAATCCTTTACACCATCCCAATAGCTTTTGGTTGCACCTGCAGCTGTCTTTTGTAAGGCCTGTAGTAGTGGTTGCACCTCTATTGATGGTTTAAGAGCTTTTTTGGATTGAGGAACATGGAATACATTGTGTATTCTTGCAGGCAATTCCAGCTTGTATGCCACCTTCTCTGTCCTCTCTTCAATCTGATATGGGCCATCTTATCCAGGAAAGTGATGTATAACTTGTAACTTAATAAGGATACGGTAGTTGTTAGTTAGTTAATAGCCATTAAGGGTTGCTGGGTGCTAGAACTCAATATAATGGGATTGTACGGGAATTGAGAGGCTATGCTAATGAGTAATTCGGTGTTCACACTTATTGTCCTTCTCTGTTTCTCTCTCCTTTCTCTCCCCCAGGGACAGTTTCTCTTCACGCTTCTTAGTTGGGGACCTGAACCTGTAAGACTTCAGTTTGAGGTACACATATTCACCAAGATCAAACTCTACCTCTGTTCTTTACATAAAATCTAATTATGGTGAAACCCCTGGGAATCATGTACCCTCTGCTGATACCCCAAGGAATCACGTACCTTCAGCAGATATGGTATTACATATTGTAGGTGGCAGTGCAACCCTAAAAGCCCAATGGGCCCAGAATCATTTAATTTGCTGCAGTAGCCTATTTCTGCTATTAATATTTTTTTTCCAGATTTATTATATCAATTCTGGTGGATATTAGTGTGCTTTTTTCTGATTGTGATCTCTAATTTTTTTATTTGGCTGAAACCCTAGTTTTCTAGTATAGGCTGTATCTATGTACTGTACAGTTCACTGGATAAAGCAGACTTTCATGGCATCTTAATTTTTGTAGTTTGGTATTTCAGTTTTAACCATGTCTCATGTACAAGTCTGGGAAACTTCTGGGCAGGTTAGATGAACGAAAGCGGAGAAAGAATTTTATCCTTGAAAGAAATTTGCTTTATGCTGACCCTTTTGAGAAACCTCTCACACCTGAAGAGCTACAAATGTGTCAGCGCTACAGGGTCTTTGCACGGTTTCACTCAAAAGAAGAGCACAAGGAGTTTCTCAGAAGTATTATTGAAGAGCATCGTATTGTCAAACGAATACAAGATCTCCAGGTTTTGCATTCTGCTCCCAATTTTTTGTGATGTCAACTTTCATTATCTAGCTAGATGTAGATATTTAGTCCTTGGCTCTTGTATGCGAGTGTTATTATGATATATGATTGTAATCTTGGAAATGATGCGATTGGGGGTTGTAAAAGTTAGCTATTAGTTACCAGCCATTAGGAAGGGTGTCAGTAGGAACCCACAAATAGTGCTACCTAACCTACTTGTAAATTCATGATATGACTACAAGGGAAATGTTCAGTTTGCTCTCCTCTAATCCTCTTCTACCTTTTTGATCTCTCCTCTCTTTCTGACTACAATGGAAAGGTTCCATAGAGACAAGAAGGATTTAAATATTCAAGCTCAAACCCAGATTGCTTTTACTTGGTATTTCTAGTATTTTGGATTTAAATAATCTGACTATGCTATTGAATCAATAAATATGATGATATCCAATAACTCTTCCTGGGATCCAGATTTTCTTGTTTAACTTGTAAAATTCATATCTTGAGTTACAGGAATACAATTAACGTGATTTTGGGCTTGTTGTAAAGCTTAATGTGTCTTATATAAGAGACGGACAGGAAACATGATGTAGGAAGGTCTCATTAATACAGTTTAATGAATTAACAAACTTTGTTCTGCCTTCCTAGTAATTCAGTTTTAGATTTGTTTCCTTACCTTGAAAAATTTGTAGCTTATGTTTTAGGAAGCCAAATGACATGATACTAGTTCCTTGTATAAATATATTAGGATTTTATCAAGACGTTCAGCATAGGAAATCCAGCCAGTTATAGAAGGGACGCAGATTTGCATGTTACTAATTCATAATTATGAGTGCAAAAGCTGGGTATAATGCACACTTGAGGGTCTTCAACACATACCCATCAGCTCTAGACACTAATTGTATATGGAGCTAAGCTTTAGATACTTAATTATACAAACCAAAACTTGAGGAAATTAATTTACAACTTTATTTACAATACTGCACAATCATGCATTCAAAATTCTTCTTGCCATCTTCTTTAATTTCTCTATCTCCTTGTCTTTCAAAATGAGATTTTGCAGTCTCAGTAGTAACACAAGCCATTTCCGCAAGCAAAATAATCCCATGCAATAGCTCAAGCAATTTCAAATATGCAAGCATGCTATAACTAACCATGGCATGTATTGTTCTCATTAACGATCCCTGCATTTGAAAAGATATTTCTATACTCAATGCACCATATAAATAGAAGGAAAATAAAACATTTTGCATGCATTATGGCGAGGAAATAACACAACCATGCCAACTACACGAACAAGATTATGTACAAGGGGAAAGGGGCAAGGTAGTACCTTGAGTTCCAAGTTTGCATTCAAAGCAAAATTTCAACATTAAACCTATGATATGTATCCCACAACTACATCAGTTATTGGCTGGAGCACCCTCTGACTAATGGTAGAGAAACAGAGAATATGTAGTGGAGAATAATAAAAAAAAAGAAACTTTGGAATCATCAAATGGGAACAAATATGCATAATCATGATTGAAAAATAGCCACCATGACAAAAGCCAGCACTGAATGAGACAACTTGGACAAGAAGGCTTCGAAATAATGCTCTGTAGGCTCAAGTAACGTTTTGGATCTGGCCAAGAACATCAAGTTGCTGCCAAAAAGAGGAGTTGTGACTCATCCAAGATGTCCACATGCATGCACGCATGGCCAGCACATTGCTATTATAGAGTTTTCAGGTTCCATGTGTGGGCTCCACATGCCGCCACTTGCCACCAACGTTCTAAGTTGTGCTGATTGGACACTGATGAGTCTCCCTAGGCTGGCAGTGAAACTTAAAACTCTATCTACCATCATGTACAGACACGGCCAAGGACAATAGAAGGGCTGCCATGTGAAACAACTACCCAGAAACCCTGGAAAATTTTTCTAGACCCTGAAGGCTTTGATACCATGTGGGAATTTGAGGGAGAAAATATTTTGCTTTTTATACATTGATAGAGCTTAAGAAATAGGAAAGATTTATATATCATTTCCTAGGGCCTCTAGCATAATCTATGGGAAGGGAAATGGTTTAGGAAAGAGAAACTCTAGTGGACTAAAGAATTATCCTCTAGTGGATAAGGGAATATCCGAAGTTTCCTTGGTGTATGAATAGGGGTTAGGTACGACTAGGAGAATGTTCAGCCTTTTGTAATTTTTTGGGTCTTTAAATCCTCCCTTTGCCTGGAGAGAAGTGTGAAGTGTTTTGAAATTGAGTGGTGAGGAGAGCTCTGGCATCTCGAATGCCAAGTTGGGGGTGGTGGAAGACTATCTTTCTTCATCATTTTCTCATTCTTTAGTGTGTCAGTGAGTGGCTTGTGTTCATATAGCTAACTCTACCTAGTGGGATAATGTTTCTTCTTGTTGTATGTGTTGCTATTTTGTGGGTATATTTTTGTTGTTGTTTCATATACTCTGTAATTGTTAGTTGATTGTAATCTCAGTTCCTTATTTTGCTTGCAATCCAATCCTGTTATTCAGCAATAGTATTGTTTAGTCCCATTTGCGGTAATATGTTTATGGGAGAACTCGATAGCAAACACTTTAGGAGCTTTATCCAAGTTCAATATTTAAATGCTTTCGTGGAGCTCATGAAATAAATAACTTTTCTACGGGCTTGTTTCTTTTATTTTTTGGTTTCAGGCGTACTCTCTAGACCATAGTCATAAAATAAGTTCACATTGTTATTCCTACATCTATATCAAACAAAGTTACAAGTTCACATTGTTGAAGTTACAGTTTTAGACTAAACCTGCAATTCCTAATCTTTTTGCCAGCTTTCCTAATTAAAACATGGGAAGTATATGGCTATCCAACAAAAAATCACAAATGTATTATTTGATTGAGGAATCATTCAAATGTTTGCAAAAATTGTACAATTATATATTTTAATTTAACTGTGATAGCAAAGATATAACGAACAAGATGCAAGTCTTTTCTGATGTATTACAAATATGCTTCTAGTGTGAGGACATTATGCCTCTTGCATTGCAGGAAGCCCGAGCTGCTGGATGTTGCCTATCTGCTGATGCATATAGATTTATTGATCTCAAGAGGACAAAGGAAGCTGAACAAAGTGCCTTCAAAGAGACTGCCAAGAATACGCTTGCTGCGACACAAGAATTCTCAGGGTCCCTAGATGATTGGGATGTCTCTGGAATTATGGGGGTTGAGTTATTATCAGAATCTGTAAGATTTCTAGCCTTTATTTTGGGTATAAAATTTAAATACGGTTTTTTAGTGCATACTATCAAGTTTTTTCATAGTGAATTCTCTAGTGTATAATTTTTACAGTTCAGGATTGCGTGATTAGGTTTTCCCAAAAATATCCTACATTTGATGTTTTTCTTGAATAATTTGATAACAAACGCCAAAGAAATTTTGTTGAAACCTTGCTCTTAATTTAATAGCTTCACATCTTCGTTTGCCCAAATTGGTTATTTCCATAGGCGCATCTAGTTGGGGAGGAGGGATTTCTTTTTCTGGCAGTCAGACCGAGAGAGAGTGCTCCATCGGACTAGATAAACTTCTTGTCCATTTTGTCTTTAGCATCACTGATTGATAATTGATGAAATTTGGTGTAGCCTACGTTTTCCAGAATCCAATCCAACTCTTGATATTATGCTAGTGAGATATGTGCTCTTTTGCAAGCTGTTCTGAGTACTTGAGCTTCTTTTTTGATCCCCAAAAAGAAAAGTACTCGAGCTTTTACATTTGAACGATGTTGTAGAAAAATGTATAAGTATTTCAGTTTCAGGCACATTTCTCAGTGGATTAGATTATTGTATTTTTTTTTTCCCCCACGGATGTCTCTTTATCTTATTGTTTTCTTGACTGCAATGAACATGCAGGAGAAAGAACTTTGTAATGAGATCAGAATTCTACCGTCACACTATCTCAACATGTTGCAGATCATGACACTAGAAATTTCTAAGGGCAGTATGACTAAGAAATCTGATGCATATATCTTGTTCAATGTAGAACCGAGCAAGGTTGATAGAGTTTATGATATGCTTGTGAAAAAGGGGATTGCTCCAACTTGATGTAATGTTGTATTGATGGTGAGGCAAATATATAACAGCTTGTTCAGGTTAGTTTGTCTATTTTCCCTCTTCTTACACCCACCCCTATGTGGCAGAATTGAAAACCCCTCCCTCTCTTCAATGGAGGAAGGGTTTGATTCATGCCATTCTGGCACAGCCATTGGCAGGTTAATTTGGCGATGAATTAGATTTTGAATTAGGATATTTTAGTTCTATAGTATGATTATATAACCATGGAAACATATGTGAAGTTTTGATACACTTTGTTCATCCATATTTCCCATTGACAAAAGAAACATACAAATTCCAAAAACATTCACCACCATCATGTTCAACCTTACCCCCTACAAGTGGCAGCACCATGGAGAAGAATATAGTTTCAAAACACAGACATGCTTGAAAAGGACAAAAGCACAAATCATGACATTAAAGTAATTAGTGTGTTTAACATAAAAATCTCATCAAGAGATTACTAGCATGCTTGTAGAGGAACAAAATCAGAATTAAGTGGTTGAAGGCACACATGCATGTTAGATAGTTTAAAACATATTTACGACAATTTGTCATTTCAAAAAAGCTAAACTAGCCCTTAATAGACATAATTTTACTAAAACAGTTATAATATCAATATTTTAAAACAGGTAGATTGTATTTTATATGAAGAACAAAACTATTGTCCAGGTTAAAAAAAAAAAAAACTGTTGTTACTGTAATTCCAAAATCAAGTTCAAAGTAAACCCGAGTGCTGATGTGAGGACCCAACACCATTTAACACAATCAATCTACATAATCTTCTTTTGAAAACCAATCAAGTGGTATTTACAGTAAAACGATTATAAAAACTAAAAGCCTAGATGACCAAAAAAAAAAAAAAACACTAAAACAAAGGACAAGAAACAGAAGAAACGGAAAATAGTAGAACTGAAGACTAAAGAGAGACAATAAAAAAGCGAGCAGAGAAGTTCATCATTGCTAAATTGCGGGGCCTGCAGATGATAATTTTCAAGGCTCACATGAGAGTAATAAGTAGCCAATTCAAAAACTAGTTCACAAGAAAAATTTAAAGCCACAGTGACTAAATAAAATAACTGATTGTTTTTTAATCTGACAAACGGAAATCGGTTCCCTTTGAAATATCCCGTAGGATTTGACAGGCCAAAACTTTAATAGTTTTGGCTTTGAAAGAAGATCATTAGCATGAACTAGAATGGAGGAATGAAAGACCAGGAGAGAATAAAGTGTATGGTAGTAATTATCAATCTACATAATTGATAGTCATTATGAATACAATCCTAAACTACTCTAGAATTCCCCATTTCCGACAACCAGGTTTCTATGGTGAATTTTCCCAATCCCAATCGATTTCCATCAATTTCAATCCCAATAAGCCTCATTAGAATCATGTCTTTGATTTGATTGGGGCGGAGGGGAACTAATAATAAGTTGATGACTTGATTTTTATTAAAGTTATTTTTGGTTGAACCATGTATTTTGATGATTATAAAATCAAGAGAAAGGGGTTTGTTATTTGTGTAAATCAAGATGTTATCATCTTAAAGTGACAAAACCCTTAAGAGCATGTAGAACAAGAGAAGGCTTAGCTTTAATAGGATTATTTGTTTTTAACTTCTTTTAGAATTTAATGTGAAAACTATTTGAGAGAAAAATTCACTTTGCATGGTAAGAATGCATCATGTTAAAACTTGTCAAAACATCATGCTTTAGAACTTCTTTGTCAAATACTTACAATACGTTTGGTATTCAAAGTGTGATTCTCACATGTCTTGGTATAGACACACACATGTATATGCCCTTTATAATACATTATAGGACTTAGTAGGTCATATTTAAGCTTGAGTTAGAATTGATACTTGCTTGAATTAGTATCCAGGGACCTTTGCTAGACATTAACCTCTGATTAATGCTTGTCTTGGATTGGATGCATGCATGTTTGAGTCTCTAGTGAAAGCAAGCAATCTGAGTTTGACTAGAACTCACTTGTGTAAGGTTGTACACATGCTTGAATTAGCTCTTGCTTAAGGGTTTGCTTCTATGATCTAATTCACACTTGAGTAAGATGTCATACATGCTTGAATTAGTCCCAATGTGTCATCTTGAAGTTGTGCCTTGACTAATCCACATGTGATCCCTGTGTGACACATGCTTGAATATGTTTCATAACTTACAACTTTCAAACTAGACTTACAGAGCCTTGAACTTGAGTAAGCCAATTTAAGTTTGTCTTAATAGTCGCATGTGTTTAGTACCCATGTGCGTTTGAGTTCACAGTGGAAGCAATATGCTTTTGACTCTCAATAGATTCCAATTTGCATGAAGATGGGCATTTTTTACACCAATTTGATGAACAAACTAATTGCGAGCCACAACCAGAGGCAAAATGATTTGAATAGTGATGATTTTAATAACAAGAGAGAAAGTATTAGCAAAATCAAGACCATGTTGTTGATGAAAATCTTTTACAACAAGCCTAGCCTTTTAGCAATCAAGAATCCCATCAGATTTTTGCTTTTGTCGAAAAACCCATTTGCAACCAATTAAATTATAGTGAGAGCATTGAGCTCAGCATCCGTAACTTGATGCCATTTAGGATACTTAAAGGCTTTGGAGACTAAGGTAGGAGCCTATGGTGGAGGCAGAGTTGTCAACATAGTGCGTGGAGGAGGCTAGAGAACAATACCATTAGTGTATTGTTTTGGGCAGTGAATATTGGCTTTTGAACATGTGAACATAGGATGTTGAGGAGGCGGAGGGGGAAGGCAAGGGGAAGAGAGAGTGAACCAGAGGAGGGAGAGTCAAGAATTGAAGAAGTAGAATGAGAGGTAGGCAATGAATTGGAGGAGGAGGGCAAAGAGCAAGGAGAAGAAGTAAAGGAACTAGGGTTGGAAATAGAAGTGTTGGGTGGAGTAAAAGAGAGAGGCTAAGAATGGGAAGGAGATGAAATGGATAATTGTAAGGATAGTTGGGCTTGAAGATGTGGACAGCCCAGGGGAAGAGTTGGAAAAAGAAAAAGAAATAGGACACCTATAGAATAATAAATGTAGCCCAATTTAAAATCATAATAAGTGTAACCTACTAGTGGAAAAATAATAATCTAAAGCCCACTTTTTAAATCAGTTATTACGGAGGCGGTTTAAAAAGAAGATACGGTGGCATTATCATAATTATGTGGTGTGTTTTAAGACTTTCTAAATTAGTTAAAAATAGAATCGGTCTAAATAAACAAAGAAAACAGTGTGATATTTGACTCTAACTCTTTCACCATCTAGAGGAAGTCTAATTCCAAAATGATTTTCCATGCAAAAAGGGACTGTAAGTGCTATACTCTTGACATTGATTCAAATGGTTTTCAAATTTGTCTTTTAAGAAAATTTTAAGAAAACTTTTTGTAGTATAGACGCTTAGCACATGTTAATAAAAAACAATTAGAAAAGCTTGTGAAAAAATGATTTAGTAATTGGTTTGCCACTCTTAAGTTTTGATCAAGAAAAAGTTTACCAAAGTCCAAACATGTGAACTTGAAAAACAAACCAAATCTTCTTTTAAGTTTAAATATTTTATTTTTTCTGAAAGACTGCTTTAGCTTTTGCATATAGATTTGGTGGGTCCTTCAAGAGTAAAAAGTTTTAATAGAAATCTTTACACTCTTATTATTGTAGGTGATTTTTCAAGATTTACTTGAACTTTCTTCTTTAGTTCCAAGAATGAAACTTTTTATGTATTTAGTAATTTTGCCGAGAAGGTCCAAGATGAAAAAAGTAATTCTATTGTGTCTATCATGTCTTGTCATGGAGAAGAATTCAAAAATGAAGAATTCATGGAATTCTGTGAAGATAATGGGATCAACAACAACTTCTCATCTCCTAGAACTCTATAACAAAATGGTGTAGTTGAAAGGAAAAACAAAGTGCACATTGAGATGGCCGAGTAATGCTAAAAGATAATAGAGTATCTCAAGTCTTATGGGCAAATGCTATTAATACGATATGCTATATCAACAGAGCCTATGTTAGACCGAAGTTGAACAATACCCCCTATAAACTTTACAAAGGAAGAAAACCAAATCTTGCCCATCTACATGTGTTTTAAAGTGAAGTGTTCATCCACTATAACAATGAGGAGAATTTGGACAAGTTTGATGAAAAATTGGATGTGGAAATTTTTTTAGACTACTCCAATAAAAACAAAGCCTACAGAGTTTTCAATCTCAAAACTAAGACCATGAAAGAGTCAATCCATATGGTCTTTGATAAGAATCCTATGCAAAAAGAAGGTTTTGATGTTGATGAAGTGACTGAGATGATAAATAATCTACAAATCCAAAAATCTGAAAAGTCACAAGAAAGATCAATAAACAAGGAGGAAAGCTTACCAACTAGTGAAGAGGAACCCACTCAAACAATAGCTTGGAGAAACAACAAGAATCACTCCTTGGATCAAGTTATTAGTAAACTTGGAGATCCTATATGTATAAGGAGAAAATTGCAAAATAATGTAAGTCACTAAACTTTCATATCAGGGGTGGAGACAAAGAATTTTGATGAAGCTCTATCTGGTACATATTGGATAGATGCTATGTAAGATAAGTTCAACCAATTTCAAAGGAGTCAAGTTTGAGTTTTAGTTCCAAGACCTAAAAAACATCTAGTCATTGGAATCAAATGGATCTTCAAGAACAAACTTGATGAAGCTAGAGTTATTATGAGAATGAAGAATGTTTAGTGGCTACAAGATACAATTAAGAAGAAGGAATATACTAGATTAGAATTAATTCATCTACTTCTAAACTATGCTGATATCAAGGACACCAAACTCTATTAAATGGATGTAAACAGTGCATTTCTCAACGAGTATATTCTTGAAGAAGTGTATGTTGAACAAGTACCTAGTATCACTACAAAATACATGTACCAGAGCGGGTCTTTCAGAGCTCTTAAACAAAAAAACACTCTAATAAGTCATAGCAGAACATATTGGGGAGCTTTTTAAAAAAGCGTTCCTGTATGTCTGGTATTTTGGAGTGCTCTCTAAAAGAGCCCTTCGACATGATAATATTAAAACATCAAAAAATATTATAGCCTTTATGGGTGCTCTTTAAAAGAATACTCTTAATGGCTTTAGCCTTCTAGATCACTCTTCTAAGGATATTATATATGAACTAAATGATTAATTTTTGAAAGAGAAAAAAACTTAGATGGAAGAAAAATTAATTATTTTAAAGGACCATGATTGTTTAATGGAGAAGGACCAAAGTTTTAAAAAAGAAGTAAATGGATAAAAATGTCCATATATACATGACACACAACTCAATTGCAAATGATGAAAGAGAAGTTGTAGATCGAGAAAGTATAGTTACAAACATAGAAAGATCGATCAGTTGTAAATGAGTTATAAATTGTTGAAGCTTTATATATCCTGGAAGCTCAGCTGCAGATATAGGAAGCTTAGTCATAAATAGCAAAACATTAGTTACGTACAAATCACTTGTAATATGTGAAAGTTTAAAAAAAATTAAAAGTTTAATTTACAACTTATTTACAATTAATCTTTCATTATTTACAAATAAAATTGTAATATTTGTAATTGAGTTTTCAAGATCTACAAAACTTCTACAATTTATAACTCTTTTAAATGATATTCGGTCCTATATTTACAACTATAGTTTTTGTTATTTGCAACTAAGCTATTTGTCAACTATATAAGAGCATGTTGTCAAATTATTTCTTTTTAAAAGCTTTCATCTTTCTTTGTAGTTTAAAATTTTCATGATCCTTTATAATAATTAATTCTTTTTCATGACCCTTATTTATTATTCTCCCTTTAAAGAAAGTGAAGGAAAATTTAAATAAATAATATATTGAATAAAAGAGTCGAGTTAGAGACTCACTAGATTCAAGCATAGAAGAGTCTAGCAACTACTCACATGAGTTTAGACTATTAGAGTCTAGACTATAGTGCACACCAGATGCGCCGAAGAGAAAGAAAGGGGAAGAAAGAGTGAACTAGAGAACTATTCGTTCTCCTACCTCTAGACTTTGATCACTACATAATTTCCATAATTATGGAGGAAATATGCTTTTTGGAATATTATTATTATGACAGAGGATCATTTCTTTTTCAAGCTATTAATCAGACATTAATACCAAATTTAGGTCAACACATCATGATCGGAGTTATGAGTAATCATGGGCAAAAAGTAAATTCAAAATTATAACATCTCCCACTCATATTTGATGAGTAGAGCCGGGCAAATGGGCTCAACCTGACCGGCCAACCCATTAGCCTATAATTTTTTACAGTTTGAATTGGTAAAATGAGCCCATTTTTAAAAAATAGGCTAGGTTGGCCCAAACCATGAAATTATGTAAGTTAAACAAGCTAGCCTACAAACCTAAACCATGAAATTGTGCAGGTTAAACAGACTAGCCCGCAAATCATGAAATTGTGTGGGTTAAACGGGCTAGCTCGAAAACGCAAACTATAAAATTGTACAGGTTAAACGGGCTAGCCTACAAATGCAAACCATGAAATTGTGCAGGTTAAACCGGTTAGCTTGCAAACTCAAACCATGAAATTGTGCTAGTTAAATGGGCTAGCTCGCAAACTCATTTTTTTAAATGCTGCACAAGGTCAAGTTGTGGTTGATATTTATACACAGTTCACATTCCATACCACACACACGGTCCTATCTCCATACTGATCCAGCCCAGTAGGTAGTAGCCTACATGTAATATCTCAAGTTTTAATTCCTTAATTAATTAAATCTAATTAGGGTAATTAAGTAAGTTGAAGTGGTATGTGGCCAGAGAGGTCTAATAATCATATGTGAGAAATCAAGTAAATATGGTCATATCGTGAGAAGTCATCGATAAAGGTAATAAAATAATATGCTTTACGTTGAGACCTTATGCTCATTGCCCTAAAAATATCAAAGTGTACCAATTGCAAAGGAAATTTGGATCTAGTTCCTTTCTCAAAATGTTTCTTTATTACTTTGCTAGCTAGACAATGCTCACACAAAGACATTTCTAGTTTTGGAACAATTCTTAGTAGACCTTGTTTTGCTAGTTTGATCATTCTTTCTTGACCAATATGTCCTAATCTAGCATGCCAAATTTTATAATTTAAAGCATTGGAAATAGAAAAACAAGAACTTGAATTATCATAATAATTCTCTAAAACAAAGAAATCATTGAAAAATATCTAAAACCAACACAATTGTAATGACCCTAAATGTTAATTTAAAAAAAAATTTCTAATATTTTAATAAGTTTTATAGCAATTAAAAAGTGGTAGTTATAAGAGACTATGCTAGAAACTTTTGTAAGAATCTAGAGTCTAAGCTGAAGTTTGGTTTTAAATTATAAAAAATTTTGTGTTCTTTCTTATAATTTTTTTGTGCTTTTTATTGTAATTTTTTTGTGCTCTTCTCACTTCTTCTCTTGCTTTGAATCATCTCATTTACGCGAATAAAAATAGAGCATCTCGATTATTCTTTCTCACCGCCATTCTACACTTCTTTAGAGCCTCCTATAGTCAGTTCCTCTTTCTAACCCTTGCCTACATCCTTACTTGGTTGCTGGCTGAGAGTTTTCATGTGGCTGTTGCTTCATTTGTTGTCATCATCATCACTGTCGGCCTCATCGTTCCCCTACCAGCCACTGTGAGTTGGATTGCTAATATTTTCCAGCCCTGCCAGCCATTTGTTGTCATCTCGATTATGCTCAGATTTATGTTAATCAAATTGTACATTTACATGGAGTTCCAATGTTTATAATTTTTGATAGAGGACCATAGTTCACATTGCAAATTTAGAGGTCATTTCAAGAAGCATTGGGAACTCAACTGGATCTTAGCACCGCATTTCATCCATAAACAGACGATCAGTCTGAAAGGATAATTCAAATTCTTGAAGACATGTTGATATTTTGTGTTTTAGATTTTGGTAGAAGTTGGGACGAGCATTTCGCATTAATGGAGTTTGCATATAACAATAGTTACTAAACAAGTATACAAATCGCGTCGTTTGAGGCCTTATATGGTAAGCAGTATAGATCTCCGATTGGTTCGTTTGAATTTGGAGATGCTAAAATTATGGGACCAGATTTTGTGCAAGATGCTAAAGAGAAGGTACAGGTTATCAAACAAAGATTGTTAATAGCTCAAAGCAGACAAAAGTCTTACGCAGATTGTCGCCATAGAGATTTAGAATTTATGGTGGGAGATAGAGTTTTCTTGAAAATATCACTTATGAAAGGTATTATGAGGTTTGGAAAGAAAGGAAAATTTAGCCCAAGGTACATTAGTCCGTTTGAAATACTAGAAAGAGTGGGTGCTGTTGCTTCTTGTCTTGCTTTACCTGCAGAGTTAGATGGCATTCATTCGGTGTTTCATGTGTTAATGTTGCGGAAGTATTTGTATGATCCCTCTCATGTTATTGAAACTCAAGAGATTCAAGTAAATAAAGACTTATCTTATGAGGAAGTTCCAGTAGCTATTCTTGACAGACAGATAAAGAAATTAAGATCAAAGGAAATAACCTTGGTAAAAGTAATATGGCATAATCACTCCATTGAAGAAGCTACTTGGGAAGTAGAAAGTAAAATGCAACAGAAGTATCTGCATTTATTCCTAAGCTAAGTAAGTATTCGTTCAAACTCGGAGGATTGAATTTTTTTAAGAGGGGGAGAATGTAATGACCCTAAATGTTAATTTAAGAAAAAATCCTAATATTTTAATAAGTTTTATAGCAATTTTATAGTTTTATAGGAGATTATGCTAGAAACTTTTGCAAGAATCCAGAGTCTATGCTGAAGTTTGGTTTTAAATTATAAAAAATTGTGTTCTTTCTTGTAATTTTTTTGTGCCTTTTATTGTAATTTTTTGTGCTCTTTTTGTAATTTTCTCACTTCTTCTTTTGCTTTGAATCAGCTACGAATAAAAACAGAGCATCTGGATTATTCTTTCTCACCGCCATTCTACACTTCTTTAGAGCCTCCTATAGTCAGTTCCTCTCTCTAACCCTTGCCTACATCCTTACTTGGTTGCCGACTGAGAGTTTTCGTGTGGCTGTTGCTTCATTTATTGTCATCATTATCACTGTTGGCCTCATCGTTCCCTTACTAGCCATTGTGAGTTGGATTGCTAATATTTTCCACTGTATCGTGCTATTTTATGTCACCGAGAGTCTGTCACTACATTGCCATCATTACTATCACCTTCTTCCTCTCCTTTGTCTTTGTTTATCTATCACGGTGGAAGAAGAAGATACGGTTCTGTCGTTCTTCTCGGTTACAGGGATGCTGGTGGTGAGTGCAAGTTCAGACTTCATCCTTCCTTTATTTTGTCTGTTGAACGTCTGTGTAGGAGGAAGCTTTGGTTTTAAATTTTTATTTTTCTTTCTGTCAATAATTTCGGGCTTTATCTCCTCCTCTTTGTACAGCTGAGTGGAAGCACTAACTTTCTTCTTTGTTTGGTCTGAGATCTCAGTGCGTAGTAGCTATCATTACACTTTGATAGAGGTAAAATATTGATTCATCTTCCTATTCCTTCAATTCCAATAGAGACGTGAATCCTTCCTTTTCCCTTTCATTGGCTGATGTTGATGCTCTGTTCCTTAATGGTTCTATCATAAGACCTGTAGGAAGACTTAGGTGTCGTTTTAGTTAATATTAGACACTATCTTTTCTTGTTAAGCGAAGCTAAAACTATGGTGAAGAAACTAAACATAGAAATTATTGATTTTGCCTGGAAGCTAGCCATATAATTTAGTTAATTATAAAGGTTCTCATAATGCTTGTAGGAATTATTGAAAGAGGAAATTGGTGAAATTAGGATTGTTAAATTTTATACTAAATCCTGGAGAAATTACAAAAATACATAGTAACAAAAGAATTGTTAGGATATGTGTTAGATTAATTTTGGAGCACCATTGGAATAAGTAAGAAGTTGTGAGAATTGGACCGTAAGATTTTAAAAGCTTAGGTAAGTGGATAGCATCCCAACTGATATTTCATTAAAATCTCCTTTATTCAAATATTACATTTTTATGCAAATTCTTTTTTACGACAACAATGTGATTATGAGATATTTTGTTGATTAAATTACTTTATTTCGTGAAGTTATTTTACCAGAATTGATCATTTTAGTTAATCAGTAAATACAAGTTTGAATTCTAATTGTGAAATTTCATTTTGAAAATTATTGAATTATTGCGAAAAAATGATTCATGCGAGTTTGACATTGAAAAGGAAAATTTAATTGAATAATGATTAATTTCTCGCATGTTTGAAATTGAATTTGAAAGGGACTTTATATAGAACACTAGTTGCTAACGACAGTTCCGTTAGCCCTTGGCGCGCCATGGTACACCTAGCTAGCAGGGTGCTTATAGGAGGTGCTAGCCCCATGCGATGGCTAACGCACGTGAAACAGGGGGATGATTATTTGTGAGCATCATACTCATGTTTGTTTTCGTGGCTTCAAGCCGCGTTTGGTTAGCATTATCCTCGTGAACTATGTGTTCACGTTTGTTTCGTGGCTTCGGTCATGTTTGGTTACTTACCCTTGTGGACTGTGCGTCCACGTTTGTTTTCGTGGCGTAAGCCGCGTTTGGTTATTTACTCTCGTGGACTGTGTGTCCATGTTTGTTAATTGTTCTGATAAGTTTCTATAATTTTGAATACAATTATTTGATGATTTTATATTCCATTGATGTTATTCAGAAATTTATTTATAAATATTTATTTCATTTATGTGCTTTCTTTAAATCAAGTGATATCATCATTTGTTATAATAGTTTAATGATTTGAGATTTTATTTAAAATTTATAAAGCCATTTTATTATAAAGTTTATTAAATTTTTTTTATAAAAATTTTATCTATTTAACTTACATAACTATTTCAAACTTTTCATTTTATTTATGTTCTATTGTTTATTGTTGGGATGTTATTCAGAGAAAAATTATTTTGGTCTTAGATACCTTAACTGACGTTGATCTTCCTGTCAATCCTTGAGCACTTATAGACAGGTGGAGGGTTGATTGAAATTTTTCTTTTGATGTAGTTATAAATGTTTACATATCTTATTTTTATTTTTGAAAAGTATGATTAGGTGCTCCACATAAACTGTAATTAGGACTTTTATTTTTATATATATGCTGTCTGTCGGCTGGAAGGAGCTGAGCTTCTGATTTATTTGATATTTTAACTGCATCAATGTATTATAGAAATTTTAAAAAATTCTATTTACAAGAGGGGTTTTGTCAAAACTTTTATAAACATGTTGAAACTTTGTTATAATTATTAGTGTCAAAAGTGTTATAATTTCAATATAAATCTAATTTAATTTTAGAAACAGAGTGAATTTACAATTTAAGACTTACAGGGATGTGTGAAATGGTTCACATCCTGTACCGGTTGCTTTCCAAATTTTGGGGAGTGACAACAATTTGTCCCAACTAAAATTTTCCCATCAAAGTCATGGAAAAAGACATTTATCTGGAACTTGGCTAAATAAATAACAAAATAAATTTCTTTGAATCTCTGGTGTGTAGCGTACATTAATTGTAGCATTAAGGTTTGCCTACCTTGCAATACTAGCTTGCAGGTGACAATTCCCTTAACCTTGACTCTAGTATTGTTTTCAACATAAAGCCATTTACTTCTTGCTGGCAATTGTCAAAATTTAGAGAAGTTTCCATGGTCTTGACTTATGTGGTCTGTTTCCCCTAAGTCTATAATCCACACAAGATTAGCTTTAGTAATAAAAGTGATGCTAGAAACATAAGCATAGTGCGAAGAGTTAGGTCCTAGTACCTTTTGTTGCTTAGGACAATCCTTGGCAAAGTAACCCTTCTTTTTGCAAGTAAAGCACTTAACCTTCTTTAGGTTGAGTTTCTTTGTAGGTTTCTTGCCTTTCTTGAAGTCTTGCTTGCCTTTCTAGGCCTTTGGTCTACTTTTCTTCATTTATGGACCTTTTCCTTTTAGGTTTGGAGGATGAACCCTCAATTCATTTAGCTAAGTATGCCTGGCTGGACTTTATAGTTTCCAACCTTTCTTCCTTAAGTTTGATGTGCCTACTGCATCATCAAATGTTGCAATATGTTTACTGTGTATTAGATTTATTTTCATGTTTTTCCATCTTACTGGGAGTGATATGGTTACATCTTGTACTTGCTGTTCATCAGAAAGAACATGTCCTGCTTGCTTCAGCTCTAATCATATTCAACATTTCTCTTAGGTGTTGCCTAATAGAGATATTAGGTCTTAATTTGTATGTGTCAAATCTGATGATAGTTAGTTTCCTCAGCTTAGTGATAGAGGTTCCACTAAACTTGTCTTTTAGAGCTATCCACATGCCTTAAGCTATAGGGTGGCACTTGTATTCACACATGATGTTATTAGCTATAACGCTAAGCATGATTACGCAAGCAATGATATTCTTTCTTTCCAGGATGCGTAAGCCTTTTGTTTTCTTGAATTCCTAAATTTCAATTCTAGGATTACAATTGTCAAGACATCCATAATATCTTGCTCTTCCATGACATATGAGATCTTGCAATGCCATATGTCATAGTTGTCCTCGTTAAGCTTATCACCCTTGTTAAGCTCAGATGATGGACTTGGTTGCCATTATTGTGACATTATACAATACTTGGCTAATTGGATTGTAGAGTTTGCTAGTTTCATGTTCAAGAGACAACCAAGTTTACTCTCATCCTAGTCTTTCTAGCCAAACTACTTTTCTTTTGGTTAGAGTCTTAGTTGAATTTATTTTCCCTTGTAGCCTCTCTAGATAACACATTATAAAGGGACTCCTACTCAAATAAAACATTAAATAGATAACTGATATCCATAATAGGTCTAAAAATTAATAAAAGTAAGCAAAAAAAAAACAAAAACAAAGGAAATCCCAAAACAAAAATGGATCTAGTTTGAAAGAAAAAGAAAAATAAATCAACCCTAAGGCCAATACATCTCGATAAGAAGTTCAACTTTATATTTTTTTTTTATATTTTTCATCTTAGATTTCATTGGTCACTCTATATCCCAGTGGCATATCACTTGCCCCTTTGATCTAATTCATTCTTGAGTTCCCTTATGGTAGTAAAAAAGAAATATAGCCATATGTTTTCTTGGAAGAAAACCTCAAGAGTTTCTAACATCTCTTTTAGGTCACCAATATGCCTAATTATGTTTGCATATTTTTTTGTAATTCCTCTAGCCAGAGTAGGTGTCAGAGGTTGATTAACTTCTTGATCCTCTAATATTCTCTAGATCTCACAAGATCTTTTTTTAAAAACAAGCTTTTTTCCTTTAATTCTGCTCTCAAAATATGATTCTAATGAAGCCTCTACTTTCTTTGGGGAATGGCTTAGCATAACTTTCATGGAAATGTTTTCTTTCTCATTAGAAAAATAAGATAGAGGAGAATATGATGAAGAATCTCGACTATGAGACATATTCTTTTAATGTTAATAATATAATTAAGAAAAGCCCTTATTAAAATTCCTACAAACAAAGATAGGGAAAAAATAGCCATAAAACACATGTAATAAAACTTGCATAAAAACAAGCATATAATATGTCATTTCATAGATAATTAATTTAGGGATTTTTAGGTCTAAATCGTACCTCAC